GCTACATTAGCTAGCTCCAAAGAGTTAGTGTGTAGCTAATGTAACAACAACTTTCCGGGATAAAAGACAGTTTTTCTAAAATGTTTTATCCAACAGTTTTCCCTGACCCATGAGAGAATGGAACAAACCCGGGCTGCGTCTTTTTTCATCCATCGAGAAACTGTCAACTTCCCAAGTTTTCGGGCAAAAGTCTCTTTTAGGGAAACACTTGTAAAACTTCTCACTTACCCGTTCGTCATTTCAGTGATGCCGAGCATGACTCCGCTCTCTCCCGGTCCAGGCTGGGGTTTTCCGCCTGCAGATGTACAGATGTTTGAAGTCTGGGATGTAGTATTGGTTTCCTCTCAGAGAGCAGAATGGCGAAGACGGGCCTCGCCTCTGTTCACAAACCGTTAAATCACTCAACTGAATACTGCACTTCCGGTTCTGACTTTCAAAGTAAAACCATTCTTATAATGCATGAAAATGTCTTTCAACTGAGTCCAGCTTTATATTTTTTGAAAAAATAAACAACGAACTAAATTAAAATAAAATACCAACACATGACACATTATAAGTATTATACTATAAGTTTCATTAAGACGTGTTTTAAATCAGTGATTACAAACTACTCCATACAGCATGTTTACAATAAAACAAATGTGTGTGAAAGAATTTCTTTCACATACAGTGACGTCACGAGTTACCCACAATGCAACACGCGCCATATATATATAAATACGCCATGTTCCTGGAGGTGCAAATATCCTGGAAGTGCAAATATAAACAGCTAGCTAACGTAGCCATGCAGAGCGCACTAGGTTTTTTTTCTGAATTAACGACCGAAGAAATCGCTGCATGTCTTCGGATTACATCTCTGGACTTGAGGGGTGTGCTCTAGGTCGTTACCAGCATAAACTAGAGCTGTGTGGGTTGTCGGATTGCCCTTACAATGTATGGAATTACGACCCTCGAAAGTGGCCTTCGTCGATTTTGGCTGCATCTACGTCTAATTTCTGGAAACACCAGGTGAATACCCCACTTGTCACAATAATATTATCATTCCATTGCATATATGTGGTATTTTAGAGTTGACTAGATATTGATTAAGGCAATAGACTATGATATTCAGTACAGGAAGCTTAGCAACACCTAGACGGTGTACGGCTGCCTGCTTGCACCTCGCGTAAAACGGCGGATACCGGAAGTACGGTGTCGCCCTCGGCCCAATACCCGTATGTGTGTGTGAAAGAATAAATAAGAATGACGAATATAAAATATGAAAATAATGTTTTGAATAAATTAAAAATGATTCACATTTGATAATGACATGTAATAATGCTGGTTTTGGTTTAATATCTGTTCAGCTATCTGTGACATGAGCACATGTTCACAAAATCAGCTTAATCTGATTGCTCTATTTTTTACGTTAAAATCGTTTTTGTTTAATTGTTTTTAATGTATGATCCTTTTCTTACAATGTATCTTCTTTGACAGTGTTTATGTATGCACTACATACGCCAAGGCAAATTCCTCATATGCACAAACCTACTTGGCAATAAACATGTTTCTGATTCTGAGGTTTCTACAAAAGCCAATGTTGCTACTCTCTTTTGAACTATATGAAAGCTTCTACAAATAGACTTGTCTCAGTAGGACATAGGCAAGTCCCTGATAATGTTTTTAGGATGTGATAAATGGCTAAGGGCTAAAATGGCGGGGGGAAATAATAGATATTCAGGGAGCAGCAGGTTCACACTCTATGGACTTGTAATCTGTCCTGTAACCCAAGAAGACAAACACACACTCATCAATTGCAAACATCCGAGCTTTTATTTTGAAGGACACCGCACTTGTTGACTGTTTTTCTGTGTCAGCTTGTCATTCAGTCTGCGAGCGAGCTTCCACAGCTGGAGAAATACTAATTCAGTTTTCAGACAGAAAACGACAACACTCGCCCTGCCAAATCACCGATGGGTGTAGTATTCGTAACAACGTATGAAACGTATACATATTATATGTTATCGGTGCAGGTTGCTGCCGTAGCCTACCACGTAGTGTTCTTTATTTACAAATGATACATCGGGTCAGAATGTATGGAAAGTCTGACTTTTCATTTTCTGACCACCGGAAACTATAAAACATGGCGAGTGGGTGTAGTGAAAAGAGCATGTATAGGCTATTATACCACTACTCTGCAAGTATCTGCAAAGTAAGAGGATATAAATGAAACATTATAATAAATAGGATTAAAGCTTTGAGGTTATTAGTGCTGCTCCACTGTAGGGTATAGGAGCAGATAATATCATGTTTACCTTTACTCCCAGTGGCGTACAGTAGCTTTTAATTGTTGATTCCTCCCCTCACTGCGTCATGACACTAGAAACCACATTTATTTCCTTAAAAGGAAAGCCCCTACTCCCCCTTGCCTCCTTCAATAAGGAAGAAGACTTCCTAGGCGAAGAGAAGGGGAAAATCTCCCTGTCCAGCCATAAAATCAAGGTTTTCCAAATCTGAAATCAGGATGTCAACAATATAAGCAGTTTGGTGTTCTTTTATGTTGATGTTTTCATCCTGATTCACTATCTGGTTAAATATCTGTAAAATGAACGCTTAAGGTGCTTGGCAACAGTATAATTCTGAAATAAAGGTGTGACTGTGATTTTTGAAAAACAAACCAACAAACAAATACAAATCTGGCAGCTGACCAGCAGATTCAAAGTTGCAAAATGCTTTAAAATAAAAGTAATCGGAAATATGTTCTTCTCCATTAACTTTATTTTAGTTTACAGTCAGAAATAACAGGAACAATAAACAAGAGCTGTCTCTGAAATAAATTGTGAAGTAGTTAACATACTGTTACTGCTTACAGATGAAATGTTATAGTTACGGTAATTTCTCATAGCTTCTGTTGACATTAACCATCATAAATATAAAAGCCTTTGATAAAAATACATTCACTTATGCTGATGCTATCACAAACAAAGCTGCCACTGGAATGAAAAAAAACCCGGGAAATTAACTTCATTTTGTTTGCAAAGTGGAATGGATGTAAAGTAAGAGGGGGTGGATGTGCTTTCTATGCAGAATTGTCTCTTTTCCCACCTTCACAGGGAGGTCAGAGGTCATGGTCAGACACTGTAAAGAGCAGCACCCAGGGAGGACGTGCCTAATGTCCCGTCCTTCAACAAGACAGTTGAGCAGATGAAGTTGCAACAAATCTTTCCTGTTCAGTGATTAAACAACAGTGCAACATCCGACAAAACCAAAAGTATTCCCAAAATAGACACCATTGAAATCATAATTTGGCATTAAATAATAACATCAGCCACAACAAGCAGTAACGACAAATTACACAGTAACCAGAACAAAAATCCCAAACATCACTACAGGATATGATGAATCAAAACTCAAGGAATGAAAATAAGAACCGGTCCAAATCTCAGAATGAGGCATTAGTTAACAAATGCGAAAACAGTGAAAAAAAAAAGATGACATGCGGTCAAACTGTACACATGCACACCTTCGTACTTTAAGTGAAATTATGATAAACATTTATGGTTTAGCATGTTTTAACCCATACATTCAACAAAAACACTTACTGCTTGTTTTTTTTTTTAAAGAATGTAAGCTTTCTTGATGTCTTTTTTCTACCATCCAGGCCACAATTAATTAAAAAAGAGCATGTTTCATGTGAATTTACATACTTCAAAAATGAAAAACATGGCTGCTGTCTCAGGTAGTAAAATGCTCTTAAACTTTCTTTAAAAGAAATGTGAAGCGTGTTTGATATGAACCAAAAGAACAAGCATAGTCCATTAAGTGCACTGCTACACAGAGCATGCCAAATATAAGTCTAAAAGTGATGTTCAAGTTGTATCATGCCATACCCCACTCAGTTTTCCCTTCAATTAATTATTCTCCCATAATATGTGCACATTGTCTAGGGGTATACAATGTTTTTCAAAGTGCTAATGATGTCTCAATGCACTATGAGCTCCACTTCAAAGAACCTTTAAGTCCAGTAAATATCGTATAAATATATTTTTCAATAGTTAGAGTAAGGAAGACGGAAATAGTTCTCAGTTCACTTGATTTGCAAGAGATTAAGAGATTAATGTAACTACCAAACGGCAAATTAAAATCAATATTTATGTAAAAAGTATGGTTGAATCTTTTACACTCAGTTCCTCATCCTTTTTCTGATATATTTCTTGGTCCCTTCTATCGTACACTCATATTTTGTAGAATGCCCTAACCAACCACTTTGTGACTTGAATAAACAGCATCACATCTTAACACACATTTTCACAGAAAAAGGCGCAATAACAATCTTAATATGCTCCTATTGTTTACTTTTTTGAGTTGGTTGATCATCAATTCTATCTGATCCCAGACCAGCTGTGTAGATAGGAGCTCCATCCTGAGCCTCGAGACCCAGACCCCTCTTCCTCACCTGCACAAAGGACAGCAAAGAACGACCGGTCAGATTTTAGGGAGAAATAATTGATAGTAAAATCATGATTAAGAGATGTATTATTTAGAATTTCAGTTGGTGTTCACCTGGTCTCTTGGTACATACCTTGTGCAATGGCAGCCAGTTTGCTTTTCTCCTCTGGACTGAGCTGCAGCATAGTGTGGATGACAGGGAGCAGCGCCTGCCTCTCGCTGCCAGACTGCAGGAAGATGAACTGCAGCAGAACGTTCTTCAGATACTCCAGGTTGGCCACACTCTTCTCTCTCTCGTGGTTTCGCTCAAGACGACGCACTTCACTCTTCAACAACTAATAGGTAGAACACATCAGCATTGTTAATAAATAATACTATTTTCTTTCAATAGGCAACCACTGTATGCTCAAATAAGATATTTATGTTTTTTTATTAGATATTTATTGATAAAAATGTCTTCCATCTGCCGCATGTAGACCATGGATGTATAATAAACGTTGTAGACTCAAATTGTACACTTCAACTTTTGTAAACCGGTTGTGTATTTGTCTCAATAAAGTTGGTTTAAAAAAACGACGTCACGCATAACAAATATGGCGGCGCCCTCTGAGCTGCGGCTGTCAAGAGTGTTGGGAGATAAGCGTTAAACGTTACAACAACGATTACTAAATTGATATTATAAGATACTTTAGTTTTAACAGGTGTTGGAGGAATACATTTGTTTAACGTCGTGAAAAATGGGATTAGAGCGGCTGCTTAGCGGGGCACTGCAGTGTTACTCCAAACAGTTTCGTCTCGTTAATATTCAGCAAAAAGTCTTTCAAAATGCGTCGATATCCACACAGACTACATCGAGCAAGGCCACCATAGTTAACCGGGTTACATGTGCAGCAGGTTTGTGGAGGATTATCGTCCCCACAAGCCTCCGCGGTGCCTCCGCTCACACACAGCCGGTTGTCCGCCTCTCTTCCTCCGCCCAGCCCTCAAGAGATGTCACCCTGTTCCAGCACGACAGGACCCGCTTCTTCCGGCTCCTCTCGACCTTCTGCGGCGCCCAGTTACTTTTCTGGACGTACATGGGCTACTTCGCTTTCACCGGGCTCAGAGACACAGGGGGTAAGGGGAAAGTCAAGCAGCCCAGCACCACGGGACTGGCCGGGATGTGGAGCTTCGAGATGAACCTGGGCTCCAAAACCTGGAGGTACGGCTTCACGGTGGGCTGCGTGGCAATAGGAGCATGGATTGTCGGGCTCGGGGCGCTGTTCTGCAGGCGCTCCGTCAGCAAAGTGGTGTTGCACCAAGGGGGGAAGATGGTGACCGTCTGCACACAGTCCCCTCTGGGACCAGGCCAAGGCCAAACAATAACAGTCCCACTGTCCCAGGTAGCCTGCTATGCTCACAGGCAGGAGTCCCCCTCATTCATCCCGCTCAGGGTCAAAGGACACAAGTTCTACTTCCTTCTGGACAATGAGGGGACCATAACCAATGCTAGGCTGTTTGATGTCACTGTTGGGGCCTACCGGTCAATTTAAGCAAAGCAAAACTTTGTTGGACACCTAATGCCACGTATGTGATTTAACATAGCTGCCAAACAAATGTCAGTTTCTGTTTGATTGTCTTTTGTCAATTAAATCATATCTGAGATCAAATGTGTTATTTGGATATTGAGGATCATTTAAAGAAGGATGTTAAATTTGAGATAATTTAAAGTTTTTTTCTATTTGGAATCATTTACGATGAGCGGTGTTGCGATATACTGGTATTGATAAAAATGAAATTGATATCAAAATAATGCAAATCCAGCGTCTCATAAACCATTTGTTTGTCTTCTTTTTCTCCCCTTCCCTGCCCACGCTATGGTTACAGACTCGTTCTCCTCCTCCTTACGCTCCTATTGTGAGTGTCATTTATTTGCCGAAAGCTGAATTTGACAAGCCTTATTATTTCTTCTTATTATTTTTTTAAATCCAAATAGATATCCCAGTTATATCATTATTGTGAATTATTTTGGCCAGGAGAATAGAGAAGAGAAAATCTGATAGTGACAGCCCTACTAAGAATAACTACTTATTTTAAATCTAATTATATAACTAACAAACAATTTGAATTAGCTTAAAATCAAACTGACAATCGTGTCTTCTTGTGTGAGTATACGTACGGTGATCTGCTCCATGAGAACAGCATTGGTGGCCTCCGTTTCATGCAGGAGGCCGTTCATATGCTCCATACTCCGCGTGGCCGTGCTCAGCTTCTGACTGAGCTCTTCTTTGGTCGGCTCCACGGTCCACACGAATGGCTCTAAAGGGAAGACCAAAAAACCCACTCGTTAAAGCTCACTGTTTGAAAAAGCATTGCTTATATTGTGTGTTATTGTTTCTGAATCTCCAAAGTAACTCAAGTTATAAAATACTTGTAGGCATAAAAAGTACAATATTTGCTTCTGGATTTGACTGGAGAAGAATTAGAAAGTCGCAGGGAATATAAATACTCAATTATAGTAAACGTAGTTCAAATTGTAATAAACACTTTGCTTTTATCATCTGATAAGTGTTAAAAGGAGCACTTCCTGTTTCAAACACACCTTGTTTGGGGTTGGGGGAGGTGAGAAGCTGCTCCAGAGAGGGCAGGGGCGTACGGGCAGGAGAAGAGTTCTCGGTCTCGGTGGTCTCCATTCCCTCGCCCTCCTCCCTGGCCATAGACTGCAGGTCGCTGAGGGTCATCAGTCCCAGCCCCGCCTGGTTGGGATCTGTGTTTCTGCGGGAGTCCGACATCAGGGACTTACGGCTGGACTGCACAACTACTGAATCTGAAAGAGTTCAAGGGTTGGTAGAACACCACATTTTGTTATTTATTGTTTTTCAAATGAATAGAAGCATACTAAACAGCAAAAATGTGCTTAAACAACAGAAATGTACAACCTACTCCTAACATAATATACACAATTGATCCTATATGCATTATACAAGTGTTCAAGGTAGTGGCAGTATTAACTGTAAATAAATAAGGGCTTTAGATATACCAAGACATATTTAGAGTAAAGGCTAGTGTATATCTTTTTGGGATGTTTAAAGCAATATGATCGGTCCATCCCCACACTGAGCAGAATCCCTATTCATTTGCAGTTACTCAAAATTGTAAATCAGTGTCCTACTTCTTTGTGACATGAGGGGGCACCAGACACACTCTGCTGTTAACCAGTTCAGCTGGCATGAACAATGACAACAAGTGTGAATAGAAGGCGAGAGGGTGCTTTGAAAGAGTGGGCGGACAAAAGAGAAGATTATGATTAATGCACCTGACACTGAACCAAAAGAGCAGACAGACACTAAACCAATCTCTTCTCCTTCCCACCTCCAGGTGGCTGCCTCTGCACGTGCGGCTGAGTGAGAAGAGCAAGACGCTGGTGCATTTATCAGATCAAATGCATCTGAGTTTAGACCAGATTTTGATGTGTGGTCTGGATTCAGAGAAACGTACAATCAGGTTGATGGTTTCCCGGGCTCGAGGCCAGTACAAAGCTGAGGTGGAACAGTAAACTTGAGAGCTCACAGTGCCAAGAGCAGAAACAGTAATACAAATCTTGAGTCTATAATAATGTTGCTTTTTGTTTTACTGTACTTTCCCGACCCTTGACACAACACTCTGGAGGACAGATTCAAGAGAATGAAGTTGCATCTGGTTAAAGAAAGATATGGAATGGGGGTTGGGGGCACCAATTCCTACTGGAATAAAATTCCTGGACCACTCTTTAAAAAAAAGCAGTTGCTTTTACCCAATTCTAAATTGTAAAAAAAGCCTGTTTCTGTAATTAATTTGTGTGTTTATGTACTGTTTAGATTAGAAAGCAAATGGGACAAGACATTATATTGAACATCGATCAATTTCACAGTTTTGTCACAGTTGATTCATAAAATAAAATATGAGGCTAGTAAAAATTGTCCAGGGGCCGGCAGTTTTACGACCCACCTGTCCACTACGGCCAGGGACACACACTGATGTTGGAACACCCTTCTGCTTTTTAACTACCATTAAATACAGCTGTAAAAAGGCTGAAATATGACTTTCAGTAAATGCTAAGATTGGCCTCGTATATCGAGTTAATCCTGGCCTGCATGTGTGAGCCGCTAATGATGAGTCTCTCCAGATGCCACAGTGAGCCGTGTGCCACACTGAGAGGCGGGGACGGAGCTGAGGAGCCTCGCCAACACCTGGCCAGGCTGAGTGACAGAAGAAGAAACACACACACACACGCTTTCCTTTCCGAGTCATCACCGTGTGTTTTTGCTGTTTGACTCCAGGGGGCAGCTGTGTGGGAGGTGATGAATGAGCATCCAGGGCCCCTCAACTGATAAACACACCAACATGCCCCTTCCTGTATTCACTCTTTTATAATTTCTCTTATAGAGTAGCAGAGAAAACAAGACAGAAAACCTAGACAATCTTTATACGATTCAATTCATGTTAGTCCACTGCCACTTTTTAAATAGAATCAGGTAGTTATTGCCTGATTATTTTAAACTGATCATGTTTTGAACTTGCCGTCATACTTACTGTTCTGGCTCTGCAGGTTGTAGAGCTGCTCCTCGATGCGGGTCAGCTGGCCCTGCAGGGTCTCCACGGTGGCTCGGTGGTCGTCCTGCAGCTTCCTCAGCTGCTCCCTGTAGGTCTGCCTCTGGGCCTCCACCTGTGAGGACAGGTCAGCCTGAGCCTGGGTCAAGTCTGTCCTCAGAGCCATGTTCTCCGCCTGCAACGGCAGCAGCCTGGAGGGGGAGACAGAGAAAGAGGTGATTAAAAGTATGATTTAGAGACTTTTCATTCAGTACAAAATGTACAGTAGCCCTGAGAGGCAGGTGCTATTTTCTAAGTCTGGATGGGTATTTTTTCTTTTCCTTTAACTGACAAATTGTTCCGTACTTTGTTTAATGTGCTTAAAGTGCCATGTCTGCAAAAAAAGAAATACAAATATTTTGAAAAAAAGCACAAACTCTTGCTGTCAGAATGCTTATAGGGAGTGTGAGAGAAGTTACAATCAATCAAGATGGTACTTTGGCAAAATCAAGACAAGCAAGGGTAAATTAACAACTAGAGACAAATCAAATTTGACCAATCCAGCTGACCTCTCGCGGAGCTCGGCCTCCTTGCTGACGGTCTCCTGGAAGATCCTGTTGTGTCTCTCCAGCAGAGCGTCGTGCTCACTCTGGAGCTGCTGCAGCTCTGCCGTGCTGCTCTGAAGGCTCTGCTGAGTCTCTGCCAGCCTGGACCTCAGCTGTTCCACCTCAGAGGACAACTGCGTCCTGCCAGACACATAACCACATATTCAGTATATTCATATCACTCTTTGTGTGTGTTAACGGACACATTCTGCTACATGATGCTTGGTCTAATAAGGTCATTTATTGCCTGTAACAGAAAAATATTATACTCACTTAGTTACTTTAATAATATAATTGTGTGGATAACATGTAGATATTCTTTGTATAGTTTTAATATTTTTGATGGTGTAGCTATTAACGCATTAGCATTCAGGTAATTTCCTGTGTGCGTCTCTCTATGGAATAGTTTTGATTGACAGCATGCAAATCACCACCCATATTTCTGAGTGCCTCCCTGCATCTTCCTTTGTCATGGAAATTGGTCACACAGGTTTTGTCCTTACCTGTCAGAGTCTCCTTCACTCTGGGCCGTGGTTTTACTCTTCTGCTGTTTGAGCACATTGTGGACTCGCACCTTGTAACCCTCAAACTCATTTGTCGTTGACATCAGCTCAGCCTGGAATCAGCACCAAGATGAACAAGATATTTAAAGTGAATAACACAGCATACATTTGAAATACTGTGACAGATGAACCAATTTGTAGTTGCCCTTCTGTTTGACAATTGAAGAGAAATACTGGAGGATTACATCATTTTGATGGTCTTTATTTTACTTAATTTTACCTAGGGACCTTTATTTTTAGGATATCATTTTCACTGGTTTATAAAAAACAACTGTAACTTGACTTTGGCCAAAAGTTTAAAGACCTGTAGCTATTTTAATTAGTTCACCAATTATGTTCGAAAAGTGTCTCATATAATAGGATGATGAATCATATCCCTTTACATAACTACTTTATTTCAGTGCAATGGTGCACTCACTGTACTACAGAATGTCTCTCTCTGGGATAACACCATGAGGAAACTATTTCAGAAATGTTCATTCAATTCTACATTTTGATATGAAAATATTGTATCTACCTCATGCTTGAGCAGATGCATATGATATAAAAATGTCTCTAAAAAGATGGAAGACTGTTAGGTACCGATACAAAATCCATGGAAATATGTGACAGACAAACAATATGATCAGTTTGCCCGCTGGTTTTTGGTTGGTTAAACATTTGCACTTTAACAGCGAGTTCATGTTAGGATGTTTCAAAGAATGATCTTAAACTTCTTGCTTTTTAGTCAAAAAGGTCCAGTCACATCACGCTTGTTGCTAAAACAAGTAACTAATGAATGGATCAGTCCTTTGATAATCGACAACAAACAAAGTTTCATAATTGACTGTTTTATTCATGCACTAAGCAAAAGTACAAAAACATTACAGCGACCAGCTTCTTATACAGGCGTTCTTTAACTGATGGTCATAGCACACAAGCAATAACAAAGGTGTCACTTTGAGCCTACGACTAAAACGATTCATCAGAAATAACTGAGAGATTATTAAAGAAAATAGTAATGAGTCATAGCTCTATATTACATCGCTCTCCAGGAACTTTGCATACATTAAGGATGGACATTGTGTGTGTGTGTGTGTGTGTGTGTGTGTGTGTGTGTGTGTACCTTAGCAATGTCCCTCTCCTGCTGCAGGCTGTTGATGCGTTGCTGCAGGGAGCTGCTGCTTCTCTGCTGCTGTTCCAGCGCAGACCTCAGCTGCTCCTGCAGTTGATGGCGCTCGGCCATCAGCTCACATGCCTCAATCTCAATGCACAAACACCCACACACTTTAGCATGTGACTTATTCATTCGTAGAACTATATATTTGATCAAAAGGGATAGCTGACAGAAGTTGTGCTGATTGGTGCTTGTGTTACCTTGGAGCTTTCTAGCTGCTGTTGGTTAGCCTCCAGATCTCCCTTCAGAGAGGCCTGCAGCATCATGAGGGAGCTTTCCTGAACACACACACACACACACACACATAAACAAATTGAAATTCATACACTCGTATTACCAAACTCGGCAATATGCACAAATGATTAACTACACCCTATATCTTCAAGGCCTACCCCTCAATAATGCCCACACATGGTTGCATGACACCATTTACATTCATCAGGCAGCAGTGTTGCACTAACACAGCGGGACACACACACACAAAAACAGACCTGCATTTTGGCATCGGCCAACTCCTTCTTGGTCTTCACCAGCAGCTGTTTCATCTTGGAGGTCTTCTCCTCCCCCTGGTCCAGCTGGGACTTCAAAGTCTCTGGAGACACAATTACACAGGCACATGTGAGCAGACACATACAAATGGTTTAGCTGAAATAAACACAGTTTTTTCAGTATTTCAGTGTTTTATTTCACAGCTTGACAGTGTCAACCAACAGGAAACGGAGTGTGACAGAAAAGACAGGCAGAATACAGACGGCCCTGCAGTAGGGCTGCTCAATTAATCGTATTTTAATCTCAATTACGATTTTGGCTTGCAACGATTATGAAAACAACATAATCGAAATAAAATGATTTTTTTTTTTTTTTTATTATAATTTTTTTATTTTGCATTGATTATTTTTTTATTAGATTGGTTTTTCAGTTGAATTATACTCAAAGTTCAGGGTAATCAACTGTTGAAAACATACTGTTCACATTTTTTTTTCAATAAATTGATGTTTTCAAAGTGGATAATCGTTTTTAATAAACGTGATATCAATTATTGACCCAAATAATCGAGATGATGATTTTTGCCATAATCGAGCAGCCCTACCCTGCAGTAATATGGTAGGCAGTAAATCATTAGGGCTTTGCAGGAAGAATACATGTTAACCCTCAGTTAATGGAGAACTAAAACTGTTCACTTACTTATCAGGCCTGTAGCATATATCACTTTGTCAAAAATAAATAACCTAGAGTTCAGTCTTTTATTAAAAATCATTTCCCTGAAGTGAATCCCCCTGGTTTGAAAGAGGGTAGTATAGAAAATGATGAGAGAGAGGGGTGAGGTGTGTCTAACCACAAGTCAGGATGTAAACCCGGGATGTTGCGGTTTTATGGCTTGCATTTAAACAAAGACACTCCCTTTTATTAAACATCCTATTTGAGCAGGTCAGTTTCAGCCATACCTGATACAATGGCTCTGATGTGGGTTGTCTCATTTGTTACAGTACAATACATATTTATTGTATAATTGTCAAATAACAAACAGGTTTCCAATTATTTATTATAGCAGTATACAGTATTTATCCTACAAGTATTTCATTTTTCATTCTGTTTATTTCTTTACCTTATATTAATATAGTGTTCTTATTCCTGACACTTACTTGCACCATTGTGTTGAACTATTTGATGTATTTTTCTTTTGATACATGATATGTTGAATGAGTCTGAGATTCAAGTT